CAAGCCACCTTAGGGAATGGCAGTAGCTTAGCTCTTGGGAATTTGCATTTTATTTCAACAAGAGAATTATGGACATGACAATATTATGTTTATTAGACAAAAACAATATAATGGTTAAGATTTCAGCCCATGGAGTCAGACTGAGCCAAATTCAAATTACTACAGGTTGAGTTTCCCTCATCCCAAACGCTTGGGACTTGAAGTGTTTTGGATTCAGAATTTTTTCAGATTTTGGAATATTTGCATATACATAATGAGATGTCTTGGGGACTAGACCCATGTGTAAACAGGAAATTAATTTATATGTCATATACACTATATTAAGAAAGGTATTAAAGAAGACCAAAATAAATGGAGGTAACTTTATTTTTCCCTTGGGGATGCCGAAAAACCTGTGTTGTGCACCTGTATTTTGACTGCAACCCATCACATGTAGTCAGGTGTGGAATTTTCTACTTGTGGTATCATGTGGGCTTTCAAACATTTCAGATTTTGGAACATTTTAGATTTTCAATTTTTGAATTAGGGATGCTCAACCTGTATCTCTGTATCATTGGACAAATTGCTAAACATTAATATATCCATTCACTTTTCTGTGAAATCAGGATGCCAACATCATCTATGATATAGGGTTGTTTTTAAAAAGTACTGTGTTTTGCATGACATATAATAGCTTAATAAATGTTGGTCGTTATTCTTAAGTTACAGCCATGGCGCTTCCCAGTACCCCTGTAAGGTAAACAGGGATGGTACTATAATCTCCAGTCACCGCTGGAAATCAAAATAGGATGGTAAAATATTATTACTCTCCTCAGCATCATGAGCCCTTTTACAGCAGAGCTGGAATCAGTCCGTAGAGCTCCAGAATTCTATTTCAATACTCTTGGTATTACACCATTCTTTATTTCCACTTGCTGTAAAATGTCAGGGCACAAGAAAGAGAACAGGGTCACTGAGGCAGACATCCTATGGTTATAGCTCAGTAAAGATTTAATCTAAAGGCCAGACAGGTTCCAGGAAGTGCTGAAAGATTATTCCAGAGTGGTGCCACTAAGTGTGTGGTCCACAAGCTGAACTGTTTCTGTTTCACAGGGAAATAAGAATAAAAATTGAGAATATGTGTTTAGAAACTTTTATAGCAATTTGACGTAGTGATTTTATTCTTCTTCTTTTTTAGAAATGAGGTCTCACTATGTTGCTCAGGCTGGAGTGCAATGGCTACTCACAAATACAGTCCCACTACTGATCAGTACTGGAGTTTTGACCTGCCCCATTTCTGACCTGGGCCAGTTCACCCCTTCTTAGGCAACCTATGGTCCCCGACTCCTGGGAGGTGGGAGGTCACTATGTTGATTCAGAATTTATTGTGGAGACCCAATCAGCATAGAGCACTATAGCCCAGAACTACTGGACTCAAGTGATCCTCCTGCCTCAGCCTCCTGAGTAGCTGGGTCTATAGGCACAGACTAGCATGCCTGACAACATCGTGATTTTATATCTGTTGAATTTAAAAATACAAACTGTGTTTGTATTGTCTATGTTATTTTTAACCATTTATTTTTCCAGAAACTCAATTTTATTTTATTTTACAAAAGTTTCAGTCTGTGACAGGTTTGAAAATAAACAGACTGGTCAAGGGAAAAGACATCCTTGAGTCTTGAGAATGAATGGACAAGAGTGGAGAAAAGAAGGTGGAGAGAAGGGTGATAGTTCTTGAAAACCAGGCAGTTCCTTTACAGAATGGATAAGGGACGCATAGGACCATTTGAGTTATTCACTGAATTACCAAATTACTACCCAAACTAAATTTATTCAAGCAGACCTAAAAAGAGACATCACGCTGTGGGGAAGGTAGTAAGATTAGTAAGAACTACAACCACTTCCTTTTCCTGCTTTTAGTCGTCTCAGCTCTACAGCTACTGTTTTTTTTTATTTTGTTTTGTTTTGTTTTGTTTTTGTTGTTGTTGTTTTCATTTTGGGATCTGTCAGTGTTAGAATCTACAACTACTGTTCTCCTCTCCAATTTCCCCCTCTTTTCCAAGGACCATGGTGATTCCCATCAGATGTTAAAGACTGGCTTAGCCCACACTAACCAGGGGGAATCCCCAAATAGTGGAAACTTACTACTGGAAAGTCCTCTAGAGGTCTTTTTGATCCAGATGGGCAAAATGAGAATCAGAGAGGAAAAGGGACTTGTCTAAGGCCACCTGGCCTGTTACCAGTAGATACCAGGCTTTTACTCCTTGATAACCTGGGTAAATGGGAGATGAGAGAGCTTTTTTTGTCAATACCTCCATCATTTATTCTATCAGATATTCAGTTAGGTTAACAAGGAAATGTGCAGGGTCACCATGTTGTACAACTCCAGGGAGCACCAGTCAGGGTGATCTGTATACAGGGGTTGTGCAATACAACAGTACAGGTAGACACCACTTAGGAGAAAAGAGGGCTGTTGTCTGTTTACATGTTCGTTAGATTTTAGAAAGGAAATCTGATTAAACTAACCTATGTTAACAGGAAACAAAAATAACATCACTGAGCTGCTCAGAAGTGCTAAGTACTACATTAGACATTGGCTATCCCATTGAATTCTCACTACACATCTTCTGGATGGCTACTTTTTTTTACATTATTTCATTTTTTTATTAGGGTTGCTATTTTTTTTTTTTTTTTTTTTTGCCAATGCCTACTATATTGCAAGTTATCATGGTGGAGTGTTGGGAAAAGTTTTCAATTAGCAATAATCACACCTCAGATAAACCTCATTGGCTACAATACCACCACTGTGCAAAGCTAGAGTTGCTATTCTTATCCCCGTTTGACATATAAGCTGAGGTTCAAAAAAGTTATGTGACCAAGTTCACATTGCTAAGAGTGGCAGAGTTAGGAATTGAATCTAAATCTATCTGATATCCAAATTCAAGCTCTTTCCGTAAGATTACGGCAGGAATTTAGGAGACTTCCTTAAAATATTGTACTCCTACCTCCTATATATGAAACAGGCACTGGGAGAAAAAAGGTACGAAGTATGCAGCCTCATCTGGACAATTCCCAGAATACTAGCACTGAGTGGCTTTTATTTAGAAAAGGAAAAGGGTCCTTTTTTTTTTTTTTTGGATCTATAAGTCTATAGAGGGGTATCACAGAAACTTCCTGAATGACCCTGTTCCATTGTTTCAATCTTTTTCCAGAATGGCATGGTTTAAGAATAATATTCATTATAGGTACTTAATTAAAACATTTATTTATTTATTTATTTATTTATTTATTTATTTATTTATTGAGACAGTCTCGCTCTATCGCCCTGGCTGGAGTGCAGTGGCGTGATCTCAGCTCACAGCAACCTGTGTCTCCTGGGTTCAAGAGACTCTTGTGCTTCGGCCTCCTGAGTAGCTGGGATTACAGGCGCCCACCACCACGCCTGGCTAATTTTTGTATTTTTAGTAGAGACAGAGTTTCATCATGTTGGCCAGGCTGGTCTTGAACTCCTGACCTCAAGTGATCTGCTTGCCTTGGCCTACCAAAGTTCTGGGATTACAAGCATGAGCCACAACGCCTGGCCGAAATCATTTATTTCTGATTAAACAATGTGGTACTGTCATCCAGTTGTATAAACTTGTGCCAGGCTTTCACAGTGTGTTCCTTGTGCAATGTGGTCATCCACTGACACTTTTTAAAATCTAGAGGTAAAAACACTGCTCTTAGGGTGCGGTGAGGGGAGTTAAAAATGGAGCTTAAGACTTTATTAATCTTGCCATTTTGTGTGTAGTTGTTGAATGCTTGTTCGTTACACTATTTATTGTGTCTACCTTGCTACTAATGTTTGACATTCTGATACTATCCAAAGCAGATGGTCCTGGTTAGATGATCCTGAATAATCCATGGAAGAGAGGAGGGGATCTCTCAGCCTGAATATATGACATATCCCACAGAAACCCCTGGATATGTCTGTAAGTTCCTTTTATCTTCTGGTATCAGAGGGTTTTGTTTGTTTGTTTGTTTCTGGTAAGATGCAAATGGGGCTATAATCTTTTTTTTTTTTTTTTTGAGACGGAGTCTCACTCTGTCCCCCTGGCTGGAGTGCAGTGGCCGGATCTCAGCTCACTGCAAGCTCCGCCTCCCGGGTTCAGGCCATTCTCCTGCCTCAGCCTCCCAAGTAGCTGGGACTACAGGCGCCGCCACCACGCCCGGCTAGTTTTTTTGTATTTTTTAGTAGAGACGGGGTTTCACTGTGTTAGCCAGGATGGTCTCGATCTCCTGACCTCGTGATCCACCCGTCTTGGCCTCCCAAAGTGCTGGGATTACAGGCTTGAGCCACCGCGCCCGGCCTATAATCTTAAAGATTCCTGAACATCATTGCCAAAATAGTTTTTATCAACAGGTTTTCCAAGTGTTATATTTCTTCATATTACCATGCATGGCTTCCAACTTCTGTCAAATAGCTAAGTACAAATCTGTATTTTAAAAGTTATTTGGGCCAGGTATGGGAGCTGAAGTGGCCTCTTTTTATAGCATTTATTCTGAGTTCTTCACCTTGACATTTTACTGAATTATTCTTAGTCCATCCGAAGGAAGTCACCCTGAATTCTAAATACACATTTATATTTATCTGAAGAGATAGACAGGAGATAGATGATTGCCAGGTAGGTAGATAGAGAGGACCTTAGTATTTGGGCCACTTCCTCTCTGAATCTCTCATGCCTTACTAAAGGAAGGGAGGCAGTTAATCCAATAGACCCCCACTTAGGGAAATAGCAGAGTTGTTAGGTATAAAAGACAGATAATAGCGTTGAGGAGGATAAGAGGAGAGACGTAAAATAGAAGTACACAATGACACACAAGCTACACACAAGAACAGACTCTAGAAAAAACCAAACACAGTAATACATAGACATGAACTACCCTATCCTTTTCCTCCCTCACCTTCCCCCAAGTCTCTGAGTTTTCTTTGGGCTCTTCCCATAACCCCCTTCCTTTTCCCCAGTCCTTTTGGCACTTACTTGATGTGTTCTGTGCGTCCAGAGCCCTCGATGGTCTTGGCTCCCCACCGCTGCTCCTTCTCAGAGATGTCATTCTGCAAATGACAGCACTCAGTAATATGTGACGGCAAGAAATGTGCCAGTAAGAGGGCTGTCTCAGTCCCAGAAGGCCCTTTTCCAAGCATCCTCAAAGGTCACAGAGTTGCCCAGATGCCCTTGCCACCCCACTCTCTGCAATATTCAAGCAAAGCTACTTCCAAACTCACCACAAAGTCAGGATCTGTGTCCCAATCATCACCCTGGGTCTCCACGGAAACAGACACATCATGGCCCACTACAGACTTCCACATCTGAGAGTGACAGGAGATGGGAATAATTAGGGACAAAAAAGGATCAAGAGGAGGGAAAATAGGAATGTTGAAGTCAAAATATAGAAGCTCAATATTTCCTGCCATTTTTTTTTCTTAGAAGAAAATAGAAAATGAAGCAAAGCAAATGGGAGTTGTAGGAAGGCTTTTCTGCTCAGTTACAAGAGGAGAGATGGGGCTTTATTCAAGACAAACCAATGTGGCCTGGGCCCGCTTGGAGCTAGAGAGAAGTTGCCATGGGTGTGGGTAACACTAGGTAACCTGTAAGTCAAAATTGCTGGAATTGTTCACTTGTGTCCCGAGGCCAGCCAGGCAGTGCCTGAAGGTGGTTGGCAATGAGGGGTGCTATAATATCCCTAGAATTATGGCCTCATTTCACTCAGGTTTCTATATACGATTCCTTTGTCACTGTTGAAATACAAATTGGTTCAGTTTCTCACAAGTGAACATCTACGTCTCTCTTTACAACCTGCTGAACTATACTGAGAATTTTTCCAGCCTCTTGTCCAAGTGATGTCCCACCTTCACCCTGAGACTGGTCACTTCACAGCTGCGTAAGGTCAGTAGGGACAGTTGGCTGACATTTCCACACTGAAGAATGCATGGGAAAGCATTATTTGCTGGGAATAAGTCAGTTATTACTCAATTTTTAAAAAATGGTTCAATTATATTTCTAAAGAAAAGTAGTTCAAAAAATAGCATGTTTTCAAGTTGACAATTTATCATAGAAAAGAAAAAAGAATCATATATAATAAATCTTATTTTGAACATTAAGAGGTATTCAGTTTTTATCAACTAAATAAATGTTGCAGAAATATGTAGAGAACACTAGCTTGGAAGGGTGCCAAACTTACTCTGCTAGAGCGTCCCCAGTGTTCTAGTCGGCCTTCTGGACTGTGCAGAAGGAAGAGCAGCATGGTTGCTCTGCATCTGTGGATCTTGGTGTGAAGAAGTAACAACAGACAATGCTCATCTGCTGTGGTTGCTACTGAGACTTCTTGACCCTGGCACGACTTGCTAGCTGGCAACCCTTCCCTCCTCAGACACCTCATCCCATTGGAGACCTTCTTCATGCTCTCCATTGTCTCCAAAGAGTTCCTTTACAACTACTCCTCGGGTTCTCCTGTCTCCACCTAGGCCTTCAGATTCTCCAGTTTTCTATTTCCACTTGAAAACTCCATCTTCTCCATTGAGCAACCCCTTAAAAACCAGCCCAGGGGAAGTCTGGGGTAAATCAGTTAAAGAGATGCTAAGGGGACACTGGGCAGATATTGACTGAGTCAGCCGTGAGTCACGGCTGAAAGCAGCTCGGCTTTCCCTGACGCGGGTGGAGACAGCAAAACAAGACTTAGAATCCTGCATCCTTACTACCCCTCTACTTCTCATCCCCTGGCTCCTGGGCTGCTGTGCAACAAAAGGACTGTCACACACAAAACTGGAATGGAGAAGTTTCTGAAATAGTCATGAGCAATAAGGAAGCAATGAGGACTGATGGTCCCATCCTCTTTCCTGTGGCTCCTCTGAGGCCTCAGCCTGACTCTCCCATTCACCCATTTTTGAAATAAAGAGTTTCTGAAATAGAGACAATTTATCTAATATCCTTGACCTATTGACCAGAAACCAGAAAGGTAAGAAGTGCTATCTAGAGGTGAGAACCAGAGAGTAATCTGGTGAGGCCTTGTTGCGATGCTGACCTCCTGCATCAAAGTACACGGACTGGGAGTCAGAAGCCCTGGCTGTCACCCCAGCTCTGTGACTAAGCCTCTGAGAGACCATCACAAGGGCATCAACAGAGTAGGTACTCATTTGCCAGGTATGAGACCAGGCGATTAATAAATACCAACTTGAATAATTTGCCAAATCAGCAATTATCTCTGATTTCCCCAGTGGAAAATAATGAAGGGGTTAACCTAGCTAATCTGTAAAGTCTCCTTGATTTCTGACATTCGGGGATTCTGTGATCTACAATCACAGAAACTAGCCCCAGCAGAACCATCATGCCTTCTCTTGGGCTCCATCAGCACTTGGTACTCAGTGCTACTTTACATCAGTGACTACTTCCTTATCTGTTACATTTCCTATGTGGGTTTGTTTCCCTGAGACCATATGCTCTTCAAGGGCAGACACTGTTTTCTTCTCCTGTGGTCCTCCTCCCAACTCAGTACCTAGGGGAGACATGCCTTAGACTGGGTTGTAGATTGTCAGCAGAAACCAGGCAACACTTTGCTTGACGTTTGTGCTAGATGGCTCCTGAATCATTTGCCTTGAGTTTAAGTCCCTCCCTTCTGTTTCTATCTCCAGATGCTGATTTGCTACAACCACTCACAACCAGGCCTTCTGGCCATAAAAGGATAAAAGCCTACTAGTGGTGACCTTGCCCATCACCAAGGACTAAGAGCCAGGTAGGTTCCTCCTCAACAATTACTGTGTTTCCCGACTGTCCCATGGCTCAGAGTACCCACCTCCACCTGTGCGAGCCTCTGTTCTAAGTGCCCCGGCTCCTCGCGTCCACACCGACTCCCTCTCTGGCTGCTGCCACTTCGGAGTGAGAAACTGAGCTGCTGCTTCAGTTCCGTATTCAGGTTTTCGTCATTTCCTGCCACCCCATCCTCACAGCTACTTCCTGAAATTTGAGTCAGTTCCTTCTGCTTTAGACACTTAAATTTTAAAAGGATTAAATGTCTCTGTGCCTGGTCTTTTTGCAAGGTTTTGACAATGGGGGTCATAGGGCAGTCATAGAAAATGCTGCTTTGACTCTGACTTTGTAATCTAGTGAGAGAAACAAACATTCAACCAGAAAACATATTAGAGAATTCCATAGAACAGCACTGTATCCTAAATAGGGTGGCAGTTACGTTTGAGACTGTAAAGGAATTCAGAGCATTTGGTATGGGATGTATTCATCAAGAAAGGCTTTATGGGAGAAGTCATTTATATGTGGATTTTGAAGCATGAGACTTAAAAAGAAACTCACCCCTATATTACCCACGGCACTTAAAAGTGGAGTTTCCATATAGATGTTCAAATAAACATCGACCAGTTGAATGCCAGAAGGAATAACTCATAAGGGAAAAGGCAAGACATGGAAGGAGAAAGTTTCCTAGCTTGTTTGGGGCACTGTGGAGTCTGAGCTAACAAACTAAAGATTTGGCTCCAGATATTAGGAAGAATTCTGAAAGAACCAGGTGCTGGTCAGCTGATGGAAGGTCTTTGTGGCCTCCTGTTTCACTGCGTGTCAAGACTTGCTGCCCCTCCCTTCCCTCTTGAAGTCAGACGTGCTGAGGTGACTTGTTTTGGCCAGTGACAGATGCCACTTTCTGGCGGAGACCATAAGACCACTGCAAGCTTTGCTATGCTCTTTCACCACTGCCCAAGGCAACCTGCAATTCTCCATATTGGCTCCTCCAGCAGACTGAGTCCCTGAGTGAGAAAGAACACAAGTGGAGCCCCATCCACCATGTGAGGGAATTGGAGTCTTTCACTAAATAGTCCTTTGTTTTGGCTACTGCAAATTTGAGGGTGTCTGTTATTGTATCTGACCTAGCCTCTCCTAATCTTGATTGTCTGTGGACTTCTTGATTTGTTCACAACTGTGCATTCTCCAAGGAGTTTAAGCAGGACTAGATGAAACTGGCCCATGATACAGGCACTTTTCTGCATTAGGAATATGAAGCCTCTGTCACTTCCAAATCTAAGGATTCTATGCCTGGGGGAGCTTTATTTATCCCTCCTACTTTATTACCTATTTATCGTGGTGGTACCGAAGTTATAAGGAAGAGTACATTTGTAGAAGGGAAAATAGTCTTGTAAAATCACTTGGAATCCTCATGTAGTGTCAAAATACGAATTAGACTATATACTGTGACACACCATCCAGGTACATAGTTCTCTGGAGAAACTAGAAATTAATCAGAGATGACACCAAGAAGCCCCATCTTTCTTTAGCAAATGTCACAAGTTCATTACTGATGAGGTAGTGAGGTGTATCACACAGAAATAGAACGGGCCTTGAAATCAGATAGACTTGGTTCAATTAAACCATTTACTGTACTTTGAGAAAGTGAGCTAGCTTCTCTTAAGCAGCAACTTAATATAAAAAACCGTAATAGCTGGTCACGGTGGCTCCCACCTCTAATCCCAGTACTTTGGGAGGCCAAGACGGGTGGATCACAAGGTCAGGAGTTTGAGACTAGCCTGGCCAACGTAGTGAAACCATCTCTACTAAAAGTACAAAAATTAGCCAGGCATGGTGGCAGGCCCTGTAATCCCAGCAACTTGGGAGGCTGAGGCAGGAGAATCGCTTGAAACTGGAAGGCAGAGGTTGCAGTGAGTCAAGATCGTGCCACTGCACTCCAGCCTCAGCGAAAGAGTGAAACTCGGTCTCAAAACACAAAACAAAACAAAACAAAACAAAACATAATGCCCATCTAACCTGCTACATGCTATTAAGCTTCTCTTCTCCCATTCCCACCCAGAGGGATCCCTAGGGGTCTAATGTTTTCAGTATGTGCTAGACAAGAGTTCTCCTAGGACCATGCATGGACCTGCATCAATTTCATGCCCTAAGGCCCAGCTTATTTGATTCAGTATTAGGATAGATTTTCCTCACTGCATTCATCACCTGGGGTCTAGCAGCTAAGGCTGGAAGAATGCCTGCAGCTGTCACTGATATTGGCCAGTGAGAAGAAAGCCTGAATATGTAGAGCTTTCTACCCCTGTAACCATTTCTGGCTACCTCCTTCCCTACTTCTCTTACCCACCTTCCACCCCGCCAGCATGCAAACACAGGTACTGAAGCACCTGTGCACATATCCATTCACTCACATACACACACACACACACAAACTCTTCATTCTGAAAATAATTTTATTATTTTACAGTTGTTCAGGAAACTTCCCAGGATGTTGTGACCAAGATTTAATCACCACAGTAGATTTAGAGCAGATTGGTCAGCCCACTGGTCTTCTCTCTTCTTTAGGGAGAGAATAGGCAGTGAACACATCACGTATACAGTAGGGAGAAAATAACCAACTGGTAGGATGGGGGAGGGGAGGGGAGGCAGGGAATAGGCACAAATGGAATTCAATCCTGGCTGTCCTTCTCAGGTCTGTCTATATTTAATTTTATCTTCCCTATATTCTCCTTCCATTGCCACAGAGGACAGAGACAATGGGGCTGAGAAACTGTAATAACTCTCACTAACAGCAAAGTAGTTTAGTACTTCAAGAGGCCAGGAGTTGCAGTGTGGTGTTAGACCAGTCAGACTCCTGGCTGAGAGTCAATGCCTACTACTGGCTCCCAGTGGCCCCTGGGCACTGTCTCAGGGCCCACATCCCAGGAATATCCAGATATTCCTGGAACGACAAGAATTGGAACCCTGCTGTCCATAGACGCTTCTCCCTGCCCTTTGGTGAAAGGAAAGACTTGGGCCACTTAATACCTTAGTATACATGTGATCAAGGGCAAAAGCAAGGGGATTCTATCCTTATAGTCTAGGACCAGAAATTCTCCCTCCAATTATATCTGAAATTGGCAGGGAAGAAGATGCTGTCCTCCCAGGTGATCTAATAGCTAAAACCCCTAGGGAGTTCCTTCAGCTCTCACCACCGTATTCTGCAGGAGACCTAAATCAGACGTCCTATGAGGTGATGTGTTCATTTCCCTGAACTTTGTTTATGGCAGAGCCACCTTCCCCCTGAAACAGGAGAAAATACAAGCAAATGAGGCAAAGAAAGTTATCAATCAAAATGATACTGAACTTCAGATTATTAGGTTTATTGAAACCATCCTCTTGGCTTAGCTGACATTCCTCAGTATCTTTTACAGGACCACAAAAGATCAGGGTCCTGCAAAATCTCAACAAATATTAGGCTCAACAAACCAACTGTGATTCTCAGATTAAGCAGAAGTGTTCAGGCCCAGGGCAGTAGAAGAAAGCAGACTCGCCAGTCCCTGCAGCTCCAACCTGTCCTCGTATCCACCTCTGTTTTTGCAGGCACTTTCCGTGGAGAGTTGGAGAGAAGACCTGTAAATGGGAAGACTGTTCCACTGGAATTGATAGTTCTGATGTTAGAGGTGAGAGAATTCCAAGTTCTGAGGCGAGTGGTCCAAAGAGTAACAACTAAGTCTATAGATGGCCCGTAAAACACAGAATGAGCAGGACATGAATCATTAGAAAGTAGATGGCTGCTAGAAGTGGCACTCGGGTCCGTGAATGACAGAGTGAACGCAGGACTCGCTTCCATCCAATGCCACTCCGGGTCTGAAAGAAAAATGTGAAAGTCAGAGAGTTTTCACCCTATAGGGCTACGCTGCTTTCCCTCCTAGTAGTCTTGCACTTAAGCAAAGCTGACCCAACCACTGTAGAAAGGGGTATCCTGAGAGGAAAGTTGCCTCAGAGTCAACAACTTGGCAAATTCCACCAGGTTCTTCTAATCTTCCCCACCCTTCCAGCCTTAGACTCATCAGCTGTTCAGTGGCTGGACTTCCACATTCCTTCTCCTCAGTTCCTTGCCCCCAATACAGCCAGCCCTGTCTGATAGTAGAACACCCTCTCTTTATCCTTTTTCCTTCTTACCCTTCGACAACTGTTGCTTGTAAGATCTATTAACAGTGCCTGCTCCTGAGTGCCACAGGAGCCAATGATAGGAGTCCGGGAAGAGTCCCATTCACTGTGCTCTAACCTGAGTTGAGAAAACAAAGAGGCATAGCATTGGTTCATAGCATGAGAGGCTGATCAGGCCAAGTCTTCCGAGTCATCCTGCCACACAACGCAGCATAGGAGGAGACTTGTAGCAAAAGCTGCTCCCACAGACATAACCCGATGCAAGGGCGGTACCAGCAGATACGTTCCTTCAGCAGCAGCAAAATGTGATGATAACTATCAGGAATTGACTGCCTACTTACTGTGTATCAGGCTCTAGGCTGGGTGCTTTACATACATTTAATCCTCAGGTTTTGGGGTTGGTCTTATTATCTTCAAAGTGCTAAGGCTTACAGAGGTTAAATTACTTGCCCACGGCGGCACAGCCAGTAAGCAGTAGAGCCAGAATTTAATACCCAGCTTTGTCTTTCAAGCCTCACGCTCTTCTTTCCACCACACACCTGACTTGGAGAAACTCGTTATATATTTTTTTCTTTTATTAAAGGCTAATAGGCAAAAGCATCCAAGGAAGATTTCTGTGGGGTTTTAAAAATTAAATTGAACTAAAAAAATTAAATTGAATTGGCAGTCTCTACTGCCTTCTGGCTCATTTTTTGCTGATTTGCTTATTTAATACTGGAACTTCTCCATTTAATGAAGAGGCTGTCATTACTCACTCAATGGTTATGTCAAACGAACAAAGGAGCTGCATGTAACAGCACATTTGATCAAGCATTTGCCTACAGGGATGAACTTTTTCATTGGGGTAGGGAGGATGAAACCCTTTCCTCCATTCTTCATGCTTTCTCCTTATGAAAGGATATCCATTAGTTTAATACTCTTGGGATCTCTGCAGGACACATTCTTTTCTCCAGGAGAGAATACCTTAATCCAATTTGTGAGTCTAGAAAGAGAAACTGAGCATGCACAGCC